ATCACGTGACTTCTCCACCCAGAAAAAGCCAAAGATACCAAAAGTCCAAGTCCAGCTGACCTCATCTCAACCATGGCTTTCAATATTGTGACCCTTCACCTTTTCTTTGGCTTCTGCTCCCCAACACTACAGTCAAATCTAGCTAATCTGCAGTTCCATCTCAACCTTATATAGGCCAACAGGTCCCTCCCTGTGCCATTCCCCCTCTGCTGGCAGGGTCCCAGATTTCCTCTCAAGGACCACAGTTGCCCATAAGGTCCCAAGTTTAAGGACTGCCTCCCATTTCCTTCTCTGGACTATCATAACATGCTAGTTTGATCTGTTCTGATATAACCATAGGATAACTGTACTGCATTTTCCTTTTTTTTTTCAGTGTGTGTCTCTATTTTTTATTCGTGAAAAGACAAAGTTCTCTTACTATTGCTTTTTTCATTATTTGTTTTATTTTTTTTTTTTGGTAGAACCAGGGATTGAACTCAGGCCCTTGCGCTTGCCAGGGAAGCGCTTATTCCACGGAGTCATCTCCTCAGCCCCGATCATTTGTTTTATTACAGGGGTATGATGGCACTCTCCATCTCCCACTTTCTATGCCTGTGTATATACAGGTGTAGTATGTGTAAATGTGCATATATAGGTATATAACATTTTTTTGGGCTCTGGGTACAGTAGAATATTTTGCTTAGCCTGCAAAAGAAATCCCTTAGTTTGATTCCCAGCACTGCTAAAAAAATTTTTTTTCGTAAACCATTTGAGGGTAAATTACTTGTATCATAGTCCTCTATCCATAAATATTTCAATGTCTATTTTCTAAAAATAGGCATATTCTCTTATATAAGCACAGAAAAGTTATCACCCTCGTAAGTTTAGTTTGATATTGTATCTTTAGCTGATCTATTCTGGTCCTTCTTCCAATTTTGCTCACTCATCTAATAATATCCTTTTGAGCAGTTTTCCCCACCTAGAACAGGATCTAGTCCAGAATCAGGTACTGTTCTTAGCTTCCAGGCCTTGTTAGCTTACTATAATCTCCACAGCATATTTGTGAAAAATACAAAGAAATCAGTTTACCTTGGTGGAATATTCTTTTGGACAGCCCATGTTGATGTCAATACCAGCTACATCATTTTCTCTGGGGAAAAAAAATGAAGGAAAAAAAGGTAAGAAATATCTAACTTGACAGAAGAAAGCAGAGCAAAGGCTTCAAGGGGTCTGTGTTCCTGAGCCTCTCACTGTGTCCTTCGGCCTATGAAACATATAAAGCCTTGATGACAGAAGCTGAGATTCAGGAAAAATATCTGTCCCTAAAATGTGCAACTGCCTCATTTGGGCAGAGCTCCATAGAGAAGACATAATGTGCACATACATCTCAAAAGAGCTCTTTGCGGAGAACTGTGCTGCACTGAAACCATATTGGCGTACTGAATGTCATTCTTGAGCTGTAGTTCTCACTGGGCTAGTGAAAACCATTTGACAATGCAGAAAACTGACATGGTGAGAAAAGCCCATTTCGGTGCACTTGGAACAAGGTAGAGGACTGCCTTCATTTGCTAGGCTGTAAGCTGGTTTATGCAAAACAAAACTCAGATGTAGAAATGACATTAATCTCATCCTCTGCTTTTCACAATATCTACGATCAAAAGCAATTACTGCCTGGGTTCCCTTTGACTTGCACTGTCATTCGCAGCAGGAGCTAACACTAAGTACTCATAATGGACCACATGCTGCACAGATTCACATATATTATTTGCTTTAACCTTCTCTATAATGCCAGAGGTTGGTAGTACTATTGGTATCATTTTACAGATAAGGGAACTAAGTTCCCAGTGAAGTCAAATAACTTACTTAAAGTCACACAGTTCACATGCAGTAAAACCAGAGCACTAACCCAAGTGTACCTTAACTTGAAAGCCTATCACTTTATTTCTTTATTTTTAAATGTAGTTTTATTTATTTGATACACAGTCTCACTATGCAGTTCAGACTCCTGGTGATCCTCCTATCTCAGCCTCCCAAGTGCTGAGATTACAGGCATGAGCTATCACCCCTGGTTTCAGCCAGCACGGTATGCCCAGGGTTCAGGGGGCAGCACAGTATGTGGTACCAGAGATTGAACTTAGGTCCTTGCGGTTTGCAGACAGGTGCTTAAACCGCTGAGCTATCTCCCCAGCCCAAAAGCCTCTCACTTTAATAATGACACTCTTTTCTGGCTTTGTTAACTCAAGAAACAAGTTTCACCTACACTTCATAAGAGTTAAAGCCTCCGGGCTCTCAAAAGAGTCCCTGGAATGGGAGTGCCCTGAATAAACATTAAAATCAGGCCCCTACTAGAGGCACCTGGTATCTGGGCACAGTGGGTACACATGAGTCCAGGACCAGCCTTCAGATACCACAAACAATGAAGGAAAGCACTTTTCACCTGAAAACAGAAGGCAATGGGGCAGGGAGAAGAAAACTGGGTTGCCTCCAAGATCATTAGTAATATTAACACTTCACAGCTCACAGCAGAAAGAAAGAGGGCTCCAAGGAGGGTGAGACTTACACAAGCCTGGCCACAGCAAGGGCTCTCTCTGCATCTGAAGTCCCCTGGAAACACAGGAGCCTTTATCAGTCACTGCTGGACACAGGTACAAATATATACACACAACACATTCCTGTGCATCTCACACATACACTCACACCAACAAGTGAATCAGGCCAGCTTTCTTTTAGCAGCCACGCCAACAGACGAGCACACTGCCAAAAGAAAAAGGTGGGTCTAGCGTGCCTACACAAAGTCGTCAATGCTGTGATTACTTTCAAACATACAAAAATTAGGAAAAATATTTATATCAAATATTCAGATCCCATCACTTCATTTCCACAATTAACGTTTTGTTGTAACTGCATTATTACATATCTACCTACTGTTACCAATTTTTCAAAAAGCTTAAACATCATTCAGGAGCTATTTCTGAAAAACAAGTAATGTCAAAGAGAGGAGAGCTAGAGTCTTTATAACTCTAACACATTTTAGACACTCTTCAGAAAATCTAATTTTTTTTTTAAACATTGAAGATTGACTCCAGGACTCTGCACACATTAGGCAAGTACTCTATCATGTAGCTACATCCTCAGCTCACCATCCCCCCTTGATTTTTTGAGATGGGGTTGCTTCATTGTCCAGGCTGGTCTCCAGCTCATGAGCTAAAGTGATCCTGATACCTCACCCTTCTGAGTAGCTGGGACTATAAGCATGTCCCATGAACTTAGTTCCCTTATCTAATAAGAGATAAGTGTATTTGAAGTGACAAGGGAGTATTTTGAGAATGATTAATGCCAATGTATATTTTACTCCAATAATTTTTTTTTTTAATTTAAACTTTTTTTTTTTTTTTTTTTTTTTTTTTTTTTTTTTTTTTTTTTTTTTTTTTTTTTTTTGTAGTTGTTGTTTTGGGTCTTTTTTATTTTTTATTTATTTTTTTATTTTTTGCAGTACCAGGGATTGAACTCAGGACCCTGCACTTGCCAGGGACTACAACCTGAGCCATTATGCCCAGCTTGTGAAAAATCTAACTTCTGATTGGAAATATGTACCAGCACACACATCATGACCTAAATAATCAATACTAAGGCTGAAAAACTAAATATGGAAGTCAGGCCAAACAGATAATTCTTATAATTAAGTAAACTAAATCTGAGACCAGAATCATTTAACAGACTGTATCAGCTTGGTTTCCACAAGCTGTTTCCAATACAGTAAGCACTCATGAATGAATCTGAAAATATTCAAGCCAACTCTTCAGAAAGCTACCACAGTGCAGTGCCAACCAGGCATCCAATGCTGTCCACAGAGGGGAGTGGGGAGCACCCGACACTGGATTCTCTTACCATCTGAAAGACTACCCTGTTCTGTTCTTTTTCACACGTACGGAAGACTACTCGATCATCAGGGGCTACAAAGTCCACTGTGCTGAGCACCTCTGTAAGAAAATACAAACATACAGGACCACACAATTCTCAATTTAATGTAAGCACTGGAAGCAAACACAGCAAAAGTATAACCTTGAAAGAAACACAGCGGTTAGTGATGTACACCATTCTTTAAAAAACGATGCAAGTGGGAGGCTTTTCAGGTGCTGATGATCTACCTCCTGACCTGAATGATGGCTGCTCATTTTATATTTGTTGCATCATGTTTGTGTTTTATGTATTTCTAAATGGTTGTTAACATTTTACAATTTTTAAAATGCTGAATTGCCTTTGTAGTGGTGCATGCTTGAAATCTCAGCACTCTGGGAGGCTGAGGCAGGAGGATACAAGTTTGGGCCGACTCTGAACACCTGTGCAACTTAGGCAAAGGGCTGCAGATGTGGTTCAGTGTAAAGGCCCTGGGTTCAATCCCCAGTTCCTAAATAAACTTACTTCAAGTACTACAAAACAATCAAATCTAACAACAATGGAAACTGGGAAAAAATAAACATATATGAAACTTTGCATTTCAATTTGGACTAATTTTGGCCGAAATCATCCCAGAAGATGACACTCTGAGGTTTAGTACCTCATTTCTTAATTATTTATCTGTGCCAAGTATTTGGAATGGAATTTTACTATATTTCAATCAAGTTTTACTATTTTGTTCACAGTTGCATATATGGATATTCAACTGTTCATTAAAATTTATTTATAACTTCTAAATCAATATTTGTGGTGTATTTTAGTCATTCATAGGCTTGGAATTAAGTCATCTTATGTACACATTTCCAGCTTAAGTCAAACAAGGTGATGTTTCTTTAGTTTTAGCTTTCATACTGTAAAAATATGTCCTTTTAATACTATATTTAGTCCTTTATTTTTGTACTGTGTGTTTTTGTTGATCTTTCTGTTTAAAATAACTCCAAGAGGGCAGGCATGATGCATCTGTCTATAACCCCAATGGTCTAGGAGGCCTGAGGCAAGAGGATTATAAATTAAAACTCAGCCTTAGTGACTTGGTGGTGTAGTAAGACCCTATCTCAATTTTTTTTTTTTTTAATGTAAAAAGGGCTACAGATATAGTCAGTGCAAAGATCCTGGGTTTAATCCCCAATACTGAAAAAGTAAGTAAATAAATAAAACAAAACAATTCCAAGAATTATTTTGAAGCACTGAAGCACTGTCCTGTGCTCCAAAGCACAAGAAGACTGTGATTAGCCTTACAGACAAAATACTTGAATTAGATAACTTTTTCTTTTCTTTTTTTTTTGCTCCCAATGCCTTCAGGGCAGGTTTGGCTGGCTTGAGTTGTGGGGATCGAACCACAGCAACCTGAGCCTGACAGCTTTGTTGAAGCAGCCACTCAAAGAACTGAGCTAAGGGGCAGGCCCCTAAATTTTTCTTTTCTTTTTTTTTTTTTTCCGGAACCAGGGATTGAACTCAGACCCTTGCACTTGCTAGGGAAGCACTTATTCCACTGA